GCAAAGCCGCAGCTCATGCCAGGAGAGCACTGCTGAGCTCAGACAGCTGGCACATCCCGAGGCCAAGACAAGGTGACCGGGTCCCTGGGCAGAGCAGGGCAAGGGCCTCCCCGTGAGCCAGCTGTGGGCAGAGGTTCCATGCTGGGTGTTGGGGTCACTTGCTGGGGCAACCCTTCAGCTGCCCCTTGGCTCACCCACAGACCTGCAAGGTCTTCAGCTCAGGGGAGGATGGGCTTGGCAGGGAAGAGTCACACTTGCTGCTTGGCAGGTGCCTGACCCAGGTGAGGACATCCACCCTCTGCCCGGATTTTCTCCAGAGCCCAGAGATCCTCAGGAGCCGACGGCAGTCACATCTGGGCACCGTTCAGCCAAGGCTCTGCTGCTGGAAATCTGCCCCCCAGCTCAGCTGCCCGAGCACACTGCCCTCCTCCCCCAGACATTTCCTTCTCAACGCAAACGCTGCCCTTGAATAAAATGTCTTCTGCAGGGCTTCGGGGGCAGTTGTCGTGCCACCTTGTTCTCAGGGCAGCAGAGGGAAATGCTACCGAGGGTGGGGCAGGGAGATAACGCACACAGGACGTGCGGGGACAGTGCTGATGCTCAGAACAGACTCTTTAGGAGAGACAGCGTCCTGCTCCTGATGAAACTGCCCACTCTGGAAGGGCTGAGGAGGCTTCACAGGGAGCAGCGCCCACCCAGCTTGGTGCCAGGCCTTCTTCCACTGTGCTGATCCTTCCTTTGCCTTCCAATCCAGACCCCGCTTACCTTCCCAAATGACGCCCAGAAACAGAAAGGCTCGGGGACCTTAGGGACAGGAACACCAGTGTTCCAAGGGTTGGATGCTACTGGGTACGCGCAGCTCTGCACTACCCCCATGTCTCAGGAACACAGTGTCACCAACCCCTTGGGTGGGCAGCAGGGTTTGGCTGCTGGCAGCCTTCCCCAGGAAGATGGGATTATGCTGGAAAGCGTTTCTTCCCATTCTCCCACCCTCGGAAGAAGAAACAGCTCTTTTGTCTCTCACCTACCTGAGGGATTTTGGTCAAGCCGAGGCAGCAGGGACACTCACTGCTGCTCTGGGTTTCTGCCACTTCCACGAGCCCTGGGCAGTACAGCTCATGCCTGGGATCAGTGGGGCAGACGCCGCTCACTCCCATTGCAGGACGCTCTGGTGACACTGGTGAAACTGCCCCTCAGCCTCTGGCTCTGAAAGGCGCATTTCTCTTTCGGAGGACAGAAGCGCCTGTCCCAAAGTAGCCAGGCCATTCAGAAAGGCCTGCCTGAAACTTCACGGCCTCTGCTCTAGCAGACAGTTTCTCCGTAAATTGCAGACCATTTCTCTCAAATCTGCTGCTTGAAGCAGCACATCCACCACTTGAAATTATCTTTCATTGGTTAGGGTAGGCTTTTCAAACACGCTTGCTAAATCACACAACCTTCTCTCTTCCCTCTTTCTGCAGCCTGAGCAAAAGATGTGGCCATGGTTGCCCACAGCATGGGTAACAGCATGCCTACCTTGCTGCTCCTGCTGCAGAACAAGAGCTACCCCAAACCCAACATCCCTCCTGTTGCCTACAAGGGGATGGGGTCCCCCGTGGCACCCAGCTCAACCAGGAACCACACTGCCTTGCAGCATCACCTGAGGCCGTGGGAGATTGCAGCAGCCAGCATGCTTTGGGCAGCACTGTGGCTGGTTTCCATCTTGGAAACTCCCTCCTTTGCTTAGTGATCCACCACAGCAGGAGGACACAATCCACCCCCAACCACTTTCTTGTCGCCATGGCCTGCGCAGACCTTCTCCTCAGCGTCGCAAGCGTGCCCGTCATGCTGCTCCACTTGGCCTACGGCAGGTGGGTACTGGGGAACGTCACCTGCAAGCTGGTAAGGTACGTGCAGTACCTTACCCCTGGAGTCCAGGTAAACATGCTCCTCTGGATCAGTGTTGATTGCTTCTACACCGTCGTCTACCCCCCAACCTTCAAAGTCTTCAGGGAGAAAGCCAAGAAGATGATTCTGGCCTCTTGGCTCCTGGGCACAGGATTTGCGGCACTGGATTTCTTCTTCTATGGCTCCAGCAGTGACCACCGCTGCCCCTTTTTCCCCCCACGGGTCTTGGCAAGGAGTTGCCTACAGTATCACCCAGCTCCTGGTGGTCTTTCTGATCCCAGCCAGCCTCATTATCCTCTTCTACCACCGGCTCATCATGTACATCTGGAGAACAGGCTTTGACGGCAGGGCTGTCAGAAGGACAAGGAATATTGTCCCAAGAAGAAAGCTGAAAACCATCAAGATGCTCTTAGTGGTGAGCGTGGTGTTTCTCCTGTCCTGGCTCCCTTTCCATGTGGTAC